AATAGAAAATATAAGTGAAGTAATTGCGAGCACTGCTACACATCACTTGGGAGAGAAGAGAAAAGGGAAAGAGAGAGGGGAGAGGGAGAGAGACCAAATTTAACCCAACTAAACTCTCTATTGTACAACAGAGCGCGTACGACTGAATAGATATGAACTGAGTAGATAAGAGCATATCATGAGCACACCGCTTTCAAAACAGAGCTGAGAGCTCTCCATGCAGAATGGGCCCCATATATAAATATCCCATGTTTTTTTCTCTCCCCTACCCCTACCCCAATCCCATGATCATTTATATAAAAAATGCAAAAGAAAAAGTGTTTAACAGTTTGTTATTGCAACAACACTAATTCTTACAGTTTTACCATCTCACCAGCAGGGGGTGCTGCAGCACTTTCAGCACCCGTACTTCAAGCGGCTATGGCCTGTGGTGTGATATGTGGCGCTATCAGCACTAAATAAAGCAAATAGAATATTCATGATATATTAAAGTGTTGAAATAATGAACATTTCAGGCTTTAGTGGCTGATGTCTCTTTGTAGTCTGTAACAAGTCACCCAAATCAGGTTTAAATTAATCTAGACCACCTATCTCTGTTGAAATAATTGACAATTGAGTGTTCCATTACTCCTGACTTAGTACAATGTTTGGAAGTGGCCTCTCTGAAGCCATTCTTATAAAAGCATAGATTGTGTTAGTATAGGCTCACATGATGACGAGAGAAAACAATAGAAAGAGAGAGCAAAATAAAGAAGAATCCAGTTAAAATCCCTTTCTATTCGACCACAAGCTGCAAGTCCTCTAAATTCACTCCAAACATCCTTCTGCTACTGAGCAGGGTCAGAAAAACTTAAACAACCAGCTATGTATCTATTAACAGCAGGAAGCTTAATCTAAACAAGGTCAAGGCCAAGAATACAGTTCTCCAGGAGGAAAATTATAGGTAGGGCCAGGCGTCTTTAAAAATAATTATCATTATTTCTTTTTTACCCTGCATTTCGATTATCCGACCTCAAGAGGCCGATAAAGCACCTTCTCACACCCCATGTGAATTAATTGTCACTCGTATATACCATGATCATCTAATATAATTATCCAATTAGTCCAAAATAAATTCCCAACCATGTGGATTGACTTCAAATTAAATATTTATCTTAAGGACATTATCAACATAAATATTTAACGTATTGTCTGTTATCAACATTATATGGGAATAATCGGCATTTTATCTAAGCAAATGTAGCCTATTTATGAACAAAGTAGCCATTTTCATTCGCTATAGAAATACATGTAAAAACGTAAATGCTGAGGATATGGCTTTTGCAAGCGCCAACAACACCTCTCGAAAAGGTTGACAATCCCAAAATGCGCGCATTTCCTTAAAACACGTCCTAAAGAACTGAGCACATTCACTAGTTTGTTTGTAAACAATTAACAAGGTAATTAGCTAACAGGTGTTCTTGTCAAACTGTCAACAGAGTAGCTAGCACAAGATATGCCAAATAAATCTAAAAACCACTTGAGGGCAGATTTGACCATTCAGACACAAGTCACATGGCCAGGAATCATATTTGTATCTGACTTGAAATGTGACTTGAAATATCCAATTAAATGTGATTTTTGGCTGTTCAGCCTGCAGGGAAAAGAACAGATTTGAATCGGATATGCAAAAAAAATAGTATTTGAGTCACTTCAAACTGCCAATGTGAAAATGGTGGAGAGGATCAGGTTGAGCAAAGTGAGGTGTAGAGTCACTGATCTACAAATAGTATTCCTTGCCAAATAAAAGGCTTTGTGCAATTAAGATTAATATGCTACGCCTCCCCTGGTTTAAGCGATCCCCCCACCAAACACTCACCCACTGCCAGGCATTGAATGATTGATTGGAGACAGCTTGTTCCAATTAAAGAGCCTTTCCTAGTATTTTCTGCCTGCAGCAAACCAAGTGGATAATACTGGAAATACCGGTCAAAGAAACCCCCCACAAAAAACAAACAAAACGCCTGGCCCTAATAACAGTAGGGTATAGGACGGTTCTGAGTGACTGTGGTAATATAATGCTATAGTGATAATACACTTAACCACCAGGTGATGCAAGTGGGCCACAATAACTCCTGAGCTCCAGAAGGTTATATTGCCATGGTAATTGTATTCAATAGGGGTCCTATATCAGATCCAGGGGACTCAAATTGCAGAGCGAAAGATAACCTGAACTTGAGCATGTGAGTAGTAAGGAGGATAATGAGGAAGATCCATTAGTGATAGCAGCACTTGATTTCTCTGTTAAGTAGACAATGGTTGACTCTCTCAGCCATCTAAATGTTGTACATAGGGATAAGGGCTGCCACGCTTAAGTGAGTATCATTAGACACAACAGCTGTCTGCTGAGAACCTAAAGAGCTGTCATTAGGAAAGTAATCCCACATATTTTAATAGGAGAACACGTTTGGCTTTCAAGTATCAACAGGAAGACGATAACAATAATGAACTCAGATGTATCACACCTCACTTTTAGCACAATGCATATTTCATGCAAATAGTGAGAATAGTCCAATGGCCTCTTAGACTTCTACTTCTCAGACTCCTACTGCTATGTCGGGTGAAATAAAATGAAGCGTTTGACAGTGAAGAGTGGTTTGGAGCATGTTGCTGAGACAGTGTTCTTTATTATGTATTGCATTTTGTGACAAACTGCTTTTCACTGTAGTTTGTAAGAGAGCAGAGCTCTCTCTCAGAGCTAGTGTGAAGGATGGCATTACCTTCGAGACACAAAGGGGTTCAGGGCAATCTATAATAAAACCATGAACAAACAGTGATTTATTTTATGAAGTGAAACTTGAACAGAACCTTTAGTGCACTGCGACAAAGTCATGAGCAAGATGACAAAGAAGAATGTTTTAAGAATTGCTTTGATATTGTGAAATCTGGTTGGTTAAACCCTCAAGCTGAAACCAGCAGTGAAAACAATCATTTTCTGAGATGTTTGAAGTGTGGGTCTATCCAAACAGAAGGCATTATTATATGTGCATTAGAGCCTACAGCTGTGCAGTGCAGAATAAATACAGTCAGAGTATTTTATACTTTATATGGAGCTAACTATAAGAGCAACATGGAAATGGGAGAGAAATCAATGCCACTCCATTAATTGGATGTAAAGACAGCTAGCTTTCTTGTTCAATAGAGACTTCTCACATCTACGCCTTTACAAGACCTTATACATGGCTGTTAACATCTTCCTCCTGTCAGCATGTATTAGAAACAGAGCTGGGCCACTTGATAGAAACAGCATTTGATCACAATTGGCTGTGATTGGGATACTTCAGGCATTGATTTCAGCCATGCCAAGTGATTGCCCAGCCCACCACATTGAGTTGAGTAGAGTTTGTGAATGACATCATATTGCAGTAAAAGTTATTGTGTGTTAGCTGGGTATCTCTCTCTCCTCCAGTGAAGAGGAGCTGAGTGGTATGGCTGCTCATCTGAGCCTTCAGTCAGAACAAATTAATTATGCTGCTACAGATGGCTTCTGTTGTTGTTGGCCAGGCTTGAAAAGAGCTTCATCTTTATCATACAATAAAATCGTCTCACTCAGCAGACGTGTCAATCTGAAGCTATTCTTAACACGTGTCTCTGTAATCCCTCATCACTACTGAGGGAGCTTGGCCTGTCCATATCTCTCTCTCTCTCTCTCTCTCTGTCTGTCTGTCTGTCTGTCTGTCTGTCTGTCTGTCTGTCTGTCTGTCTGTCTGTCTGTCTGTCTGTCTGTGTCTCTCTCTCTCTCTCTCTCTCTCTCTCTCTCTCTCTCTCTCTCTCTCTCTCACAGGGTTTCCCAATTCGGTCCTGCCCCCCCCAGGTGCATGTTTTGATTTTTGCCCTAGTACTACACAGCTGATGCAAATAATCAAAGCTTGATGATGAGTTGGTTATTTTAATCAGCGGTGTAGTGCTAGGACAAAAAACTAAACATGCACCAGGACCGACTTTGGGAAATCCTGCTCTATCGCTGCTCTCCCCCTCCCTCTCTCTCAGCACTGGGCCCTGTGTATCAGAGAGTGACATGGGTGATGGCTCCTCTCCTCTCTCCCCTCATAAGGAATTACAGTTGAGAGAGTGACTTATTTTCTGTTTGTGTGCTGCTGCTGGGCTCCTCACGAGTCACATAACCTCAGTTTAATCTCCATGAAGATGGCTGTCACGGTGGCAGGGAGCCATGCCTTCTGAGGTACGCACCATCCTCTCTCTATGTCTTTGACACTCCAGAAGCTCCATGACATCAATCTGTGCGTATTTCACATATTATTCCTCTTGGCACCCCGGCCAAGTCAAACACACTTTACGCTAGGCCCATGACTCTTCACAAACACAAACACGCCCACACACAAATGCAAACACGCACACAAATACAAACACACTGGCACACAGACTCACTGGCACATAGTGACTGGGGCATAGAGGAGTTCACTTGGCGGAGACTTCTCCGTTTGTGTGAGGTGGCTCGGATCCATAATCTGTGGATGCCATCTTTCTCCAGGGACTGTGACATTGCAGAGGTGTTGAGCTGGGAGTTTTACAGGCTGGCTGCTGTAGCTGGTGGGCAGACGTCTGGGCTAATTCACTCTGACTAGCAGGTAGTTACACGACAGCAGAACAGGCAGTTTAAGAAAATCTGACACTCGCTTTGAGAGGCAAAACAAAGTAGACGTCTTAAAGAAGAGGTTTTACTCCGACAAGTCGCACCAACTGTTCAGGTATGTACTGTTGAGAAAATATTGATCGGTCTCTAATAGCTAACATTAACTGTAGGCGTGTAGCAGTTCACTCTGCACTTGGATATTTTTTAGAGCATGCCTGCAAGATGTTAATTCTTAATACTCTCATCTAATTTAAATGGGATTATCTTAAATTGAATTTCTAATCATCCTTCCAACACAAACTAAATCGTCAAACTTAATCACTCTGCAAGTGCTGAAGACTTTCTTTTCCCTGTGGGGGCAGTTGGCATGCAGCTGGTAGCCTGCTTAGCGGTGCTGGTGCTCTGGGTGGCAGAGGCTGTAGAGAATTGTCCCGATGTCTGTAAATGCACCAAGCAAACCAGCCCTGAAAGGTCAGAGGTCAACTGCCATAAGAAGGGGATGAGGAAGTTCCCCTCCAAACTGCCTCCGGATTCCTGGATTCTTAAAATGGGTGAGTCCACTGTTTGCAATTGTGGGAAAACCACCTTCCCACAAGCCTTGTTAAAAATAGGCTAAAGGATTGAAACTGAATCTCTCATTGAAATGTGATCAATATGCCCCTGATGGGGTTTTGCCAATAACCTGAAACTAAATATAAACTTTTAAAAGTATGTGCCAGCTATTTGTCTCGGAATCGATAGGCTCTTTTATTGACATAACCACAAGAAAGAGGCTGGTCTTACCATTTTCTGTTGTGATTTCTTTCTCATACTATTTCTGTGGTCGATGTCCCAGGCGAGAACAGAATGGTAGACCTCCCACCAAACGTTCTGAAACCTATCCCCAAGATCGAAAGCATCAACTTGGAACGCAACGTCATCAAATCAATACACCCCCAGGCCTTTTCCGGAGCCCGGAGGCTGATGCTGCTCAACCTGTATGGGAATCAGATCAACAAACTCCCCCTGAAGGGCTTCCAGGACCTGCTCAACCTCCGCTTCCTCATGCTGGGCCAGAACCAGATCTCCAGTGTCAAAGCAGACATGTTCACAGGCATGAGGAACCTCTCAGACTTGGACCTGCCTCTCAACTCTCTGACTGCCCTCCCTTCCAACGCCTTCAAGCCCTTGATTGCCCTCAAGGTCCTGGACCTGGCCCTCAACCGCATCCAGAGAATCTCCACCAAGGGCTTTGTGGGCCTGACGGAGCTGCTGTTCCTCAACCTGGACAACAACAGCCTGAAGAGCATCCCGGCTGGGGCCTTCAAGCCTCTGGCCTCCCTGGAGATGCTGGTGCTGGATAACAACCTGATGTCCACGCTGACCTCAGCCACTCTGGAGGGCCTGTCCAACCTGCAGGAGCTCTACCTCAGGAACAACGAGCTGGAGAGGCTGCCCCAGGACCTGTTCAGACACACACCCAAGCTCTCCCAGCTGGCCCTCAGTGGGAACAGGCTGAAGACTGTGGACGGAAACATGTTCACCCAGCTGTCTGGTAAGAGACTGATACTGTTCATCAAACTATTCTATATAGCCTTTTTTATTATATTTGTGAAATATATATGATGTGTCATATGTGTACTTTGTGCGTACCATAGAGAGTTAAAGGTCCAATGCAGCCGTTTTTTTTCTCAATATCAAATAATTTCTGGGTAACAATAAAGTACCTTACTGGGATTGTTTTAAATTAAAATGGTCAAAAAGAAACAAAAATAGCTTCTTAGCAAAGGGCAATTTCTCAAGCAAGAATTTTGCTAAAACTGTCTGGGAGTGGTCTCAGTGGGGAGGAGAAAACTGAAAATGAGCTGTTATTGGCAGAGAGGTTTGGAACTCTCTTTCTTATTGGTCTATTAACTAATTTACCGCATCGTGATGCCACCATGGAAGGCCAAAACTCCATCCCACCAAAACAGGCTGAAACAGCTCTTACACTAAAAGGGCAATATGATAATTTTCACAATTTCACAGTATTATTCCAACCTCATAGTGTGGAAATATATAGGCAACTGCCAAAATAAAGAAAACACCAACATAAAGTGTCTTAATAGGGTGTTGGGCCACCACGAGCCAGAACAGCTTCAATGCACCTTGGCATAGATTGTACAAGTGTCTGGAACTCTATTAGAGGGATGCAACACCATTCTTCCAAGATAAATTCCATAATTTGGTGTTTTGTTGATGGTGGTGGAAAATGCGGTCTCAGGCGCCGCTCCACAATCTCCCATCAGTGTTCAATTGGGTTGAGATCTGGTGACTGATTCAGCCATGGCATATGGTTTACATCGTTTTCATGCTCATGCCCTGTGGATGGGGGAATTGTCATCCTATGGGGGCATAGCCATGGTAGCCAAAATAATGGCCAGAATAATGGCCTGCCCAGCATTTTTATACATGACCCTAACATGATGGGATGTTAATTGCTTAATTAACTCAGGAACCACACCTGTGTGGAAGCACCTGCTTTCAATATACTTTGTATCCCTCACTTACTCAAGTGTGTCCATAATTTTGTTACCTGTATATAAAATGCAGAAAAATTACAGTTCTGACTGCACTGGGCCTTTTAGTTACATTTGGTAATACAAAGTCTTATCCATTTGGATTATGCATCTAATCTGCATCTAATCTGACTGTGATTCTGCGCTACCTCCTACCAGGCCTGAAGGTGGTGTATCTCCATGACAATCCCTGGACGTGTGACTGCAACATCAACGGCCTGGTGCGCTGGATGTCCCAGACCAAGGCCAACCTCTCCCCTTTGGAGTCCCTGAGGTGTGTTTCCCCGGCAGGTTACCGCGACAAAGCCCTCAATAGCCTCAAAGACCAGAATCTACGCTGCCGGGCCTAGACTGAAGCCACACCAACCCCTACAATGTGCTGCAATGCCTGCACTAGAGCCACACCAATCTTTAGTCTGTGCTGCCAAGACTAGAGCCAAACCAACCTTTACTCTACACCAGCATCCTGCATTAGCCACGGTCCTGCTACAGAGTTACCTGTTATACATCACTACTCTACTCAGTTATGGTCCAACGACAGCACAGTTACCCATTTCTGTACAACACCTACACTCTTAGAAAAAAGGGTTGCAAAGGGTTTCTTTGAGGAGGGATAGGGTTCTACCAATAACCGTTTTGATCTGAAGAACCCTTTTGGAAGACAAGGGTTCTTTGTAAGGCAAAGGGTTCTACCTAGAACCTTTAACATCATAAGAACCGTTTTTGGAAGAAAGGGTTCTTTGATAATTATTTGGAAGGCAAGAAGGGTTCTTTGGAAAGCAAGAAGGGTTATACATAGAACCATATATCATATTTCCCACCATGCTCTATTGCAGGGTGATTTTCAGAATTGTTTTAATATCTGTGTTTTTGCATGTACATTGATTGATTAATGTTATGCTACACAAAGATAAATAGCATACATTTTTTTTAAACAAATCTAATCTGTTAGTAGTTGGACTTATTTCACCCGTTACTGAGATGGTTGTTCCAGTTTAGATGATTGAGGTAGTCTCAGTATTCAAACTTCCCTACCCTGGCAGTCATTTTGAATGCAGGTTGAGGGTGAAAAAAAATCCACTTGTTGGATATCCTAACTCTGGCTGGATTCCAATAGGAATTAAACATCACTTTGCAAGCCAGCATAATGTGACTTGCAGGCCTGATGTGGCCTGTAAACCAGGAGTTTCCTAACACCACTGTTAGGGTATAACTAGGCCCTCAAAGAAAGGCCTTATGATATACAGTGGGGAGAACAAGTATTTGATACACTGCCGATTTTGCAGGTCTTCCTACTTACAAAGCATGTAGAGGTCTGTAATTTTTATCATAGGTACACTTCAACTGTGAGAGACGGAATCTAAAACAAAAATCCAGAAAATCACATTGTATGATTTTTAAGTAATTAATTTGCATTTTATTGCATGACATAAGTATTTGATACATCAGAAAAGCAGAACTTAATATTTGGTACAGAAAACTTTGTTTGCAATTACAGAGATCATACGTTTCCTGTAGGTCTTGACCAGGTTTGCACATACTGCAGCAGGGATTTTGGCCCACTCCTCCATACAGACCTTCTCCAGATCCTTCAGGTTTCAGGGCTGTCGCTGGGCAATACGGACTTTCAGCTCCCTCCAAAGATTTTCTATTGGGTTCAGGTCTGGAGACTGGCTAGGCCACTCCAGGACCTTGAGATGCTTCTTACGGAGCCACTCCTTAGTTGCCCTGGCTGTGTGTTTCGGGTCGTTGTCATGCTGGAAGACCCAGCCACGACCCATCTTCAATGCTCTTACTGAGGGAAGGAGGTTGTTGGCCAAGATCTCGCGATACATGGCCCCATCCATCCTCCCCTCAATACGTGCAGTCGTCCTGTCCCCTTTGCAGAAAAGCATCCCCAAAGAATGATGTTTCCACCTCCATGCTTCACGGTTGGGATGGTGTTCTTGGGGTTGTACTCATCCTTCTTCTTCCTCCAAACACGGCGAGTGGAGTTTAGACCAAAAAGCTCTATTTTTGTCTCATCAGACGACATTACCTTCTCCCATTCCTCCTCTGGATCATCCAGATGGTCATTGGCAAACTTCAGACGGGCCTGGACATGCGCTGGCTTGAGCAGGGGGACCTTACGTGCGCTGTAGGATTTTAATCCATGACGGCGTAGTGTGTTACTAATGGTTTTCTTTGAGACTGTGGTCCCAGCTCTCTTCAGGTCATTGACCAGGTCCTGCCGTGTAGTTCTGGGCTGATCCCTCACCTTCCTCATGATCATTGATGCCCCACAAGGTGAGAGCTTGCATGAAGCCCGAGACCGAGGGGTGATTGACCGTCATCTTGAACTTCTTCCATTTTCTAATAATTGCGCCAACAGTTGTTGCCTTCTCACCAAGCTGCTTGCCTATTGTCCTGTAGCCCATCCCAGCCTTGTGCAGGTCTACAATTTTATCCCTGATGTCCTTACACAGCTCTCTGGTCTTGGCCATTGGGAGAGGTTGGAGTCTGTTTGATTGAGTGTGTGGACAGGTGTCTTTTATACAGGTAACGAGTTCAAACAGGTGCAGTTAATACAGGTAATGAGTGGAGAACAGGAGGGCTTCTTAAAGAAAAACTAACAGGTCTGTGAGAGCCGGAATTCTTACTGGTTGGTAGGTGATCAAATACTTCTGTCATGCAATAAAATGCAAATTAATTACCTAAAAATCATACAATATGATTTTCTGGATTTTTGTTTTAGATTCCGTCTCTCACAGTTGAAGTGTACTTATGATACAAATTACAGACCTCTACATGCTTTGTAAGTAGGAAAACCTGCAAAATCGGCAGTGTATCAAATGCTTGTTCTCCCCACTGTATGTAATGTATTGTCATAAATAAGTTAATTTTAAAGGCTAATAAGGCTGGTGGAACCGTTTGTAGAGGGTTCTAGGAAGAACCCTCCAAAGATAAAAGGGTTCTCAGTAGAACCTTTCATAGAGGGTTCTAGGTAAAACCAAACAGGGGGTTCTATGAAGAACCCTACATAAAGGGTTACAGGGAGAAGCCTCTGCAAAAAGGGTTCCTAGCACCAAAAAGGGTTCCCTTATGGGGACAAACAGAAGAACCCTATATGGTTCTACTTAGCACCTTTTTTTCTAAGAGTGTACTGCAGCCATCGTCCAACAACACTGTTGCCTTTTGCTGTGCAACACCCACACTAGCCATGGTCCAGCCACAGACTTACCTGTCATTGTGCAACACCTACGCAGCCACGGCCCAACAACTGACAACTGTACAGTTAGCTATTACAGTACAACCATAAGCCAAAGATATTATAACTGTATAAGCGAAAGAGAAAGAAGAACAAAAAGGGATATGTAATAGCTTACCCTGAGCTTTCTGTAATTGAGGCGTTCAACTTTCCATCAACCCCAAACATATAATTTACATCTTCGTTAAACTTGCTATTATTGAGGCACGTTGAGAAACATGCTTCTGTAATATCCTCTGTAATATTGCATTCATCTGTGCTCCTGTTTTAGTTTCTTAATCTTGCATATTTTATATTATCTGAAGTAAATTAATTTCTAGTGTTTCTTTACAGTAATATTCTATGCTGATATCATCATAACATAAGCTTGTTTTCATGACTCAATATGTATATAAGGCAATTATATTATTCCACAGATATGCAATCATTTTATGCTTATTAGTTTGATATCTTTGACGATTTGCCTATGTTTCTGAGCTGGTCACTGTAGATTGTAGTTAGTTGATCTCCTAATCTAAACATACAGTATATCATTGTTTCCATTGAGTGAAACATATGCTATTGCATTAGTACAATCCTAAAACAGCATTTACTCAGTCTGTTGTCTAATTGATTTCATACTGTATGTACATTTTGAAATAAAGGCCATTGTGCAATGAACAGCATGTCAACCCTCACAGTGACTGTAGTGCAGTGGTTCTTGTTTATACACATTATTTAATCACATCAAGAGTTATTCAAGCCTTTATACCAACTGCAACATTTTTCAGAAGTTCAGAAAAAGCAGCTATTTTCCGCTCCAACCATTTTTTGGAGAGCAGTGCTGCTTCAAAGAGGGAAAGTAGGTTAAAACGTGTGACGGTAAACTCCCATTACCACCTGAGAAGGAATTCCTCATTGGATTGTTACAGCTGAATAAGCTTCCATAGAAATCCTAGTTCCACCTCCACATTCCAGAGTCAGACAGACTGCTGAGGCAGCACAGACCTGAGCGTCCAGGCAGGCCCTACAACATGGCACAGTTCTGTTTCAAACTGACACTAAACGGCTTTACCTTTACATGGCTGCCTTTCTATATTAGCAGCAACAACATAAGGTAGTGGTATAGTAGGCCTATAGTACATGGTGAAAATAGGCTATTATGTAACTGGCATTCTACAGCTCAGAATTATACTGTACATCAAAGTATTTTTGGATCATCTGTATTGGTATAGAAAATGACAACTAAAAACAAACCAATTATGAACAGTGATGCATAAGAAATAATAAATACATGTCATTTACTAGCTCCAAAAGTATATATGGCTGAATCCTGGTTGTCCATCATCTCACAGTGCTGATAGAGTAAACCATCAGATGGTGTTGGAAGGAACAGTTGTAAAACCCTGCTAGCCAGGTGCCAACAGGTAAGCTTTCTAATGATGCTTACTCACCTGACCAATCCCAACCACATGCTCCACATTTTGGCATAGGATAGAATCGGTAACATAATCAAGAGCAGAAATACACTGTAGAATATGGGGAATAACAGTGTAGGCTATAATGACCAATATATGGTGTAAATGACCAATATATGGTGCAGTAGTACAGTAAATATGTCATACATGTGGATGGGTATGGCCACTGGTTATATAAGTGTTTTGAAGAAAAACACAAAGTTGGCTGCTCAGAAGTCAGAAAAACGATCCACTAAAATGTGCAGTTTATGCTTAAACAGTAACTTTATAAGAGGTTTTAAAAATAGGTTATATTTGACTCAACGTTCCATGATGTAGAGTAAGGCATTGCTGTAGGCAGAATAGATGGATGCAGTTCAATGCATGATTAATATAATTCACCAATACATTTCTTGGTAGTCCAAAAAATATTGCTACATTGTTTGCTGCCTCCACCCATTCGGGATGCACTGTTTCAGTTTCAATGACTCAATATTTTTGACAAAAACGGATGACTGTAACTAAGGCTGGGAATGTCAATACAATCAAACGAGCAAGGGCAATGATCACAAGTCAGTCATAGGCTAATAGGCTAGTGCACGTGTCAAACACAAGGCCCGTGGGCCGAATAGGATTCACAAGCGAGTATAAATAAGTCAACAGTTGA